GGATCAAAAAACAAGACCCAAGAATATTCTGCCTCCAGGAAATACATCTCAGCTCTAAAGACAAACAGAGGCTCAGAGTGAAAGGATGGAAGATGATACTCCAAGCAAATAGCAAGCAAAAGAAACCAGGCACAAGCCATCCTTATATCAGACAAAGCAGACTTCAAGATAAAAAAGAAAATGAGAGACAAACAGAGGCAGTATATAATGATAAAAGGGACATTACACCAAGAGAAAATAACACTTATTAATATATGCACCTAACACAGGAGCACCAAAGTATATAAAGCAACTATTAACAGACCTAAAGGGAGAAATTCACAGCAACCCAATAATAGTACAGGACCTCAATACCCCACTGACGTCAAGGGATAGATAACCCAGACACAAATTCAACAAGGAAACAGTGGCCTTAAATGAAACACTAGACCAGATGGACTTAATGGATACACATAGAACATTCCATCCAACAACGGCAGAATACACATTCTTCTCGAGTACACATGGAACATTCTTAAAGGTAGACAAAATGCTGGGAAACAAGGAAAGCCTTAATAAATTTAAGAATATTGAAATCATATTAAGCATCTTTTCCAACCACAATGCTATGAAACTAGAAATCAAGCACAAGAAAAAAATCCAGGAAAGCCACAAATATATGGAAACTAAACAACCATTAGATTAATGAAGAAATCAAAGGATAAATTTAAAAATACCTGTGGGGAAAATGAAAATAGAGCATACAACCTCTTGTGGGATGCAGCAAAAGTGGTTATAAGAGGGAAATTTAGAGAAATACAGGCCCACCTCAACAAACAAGAAAAATATCAAATAATTAACCTTAAACTATACCTAATAGAACTAGAAAAAGAAGAACAAACAAAGCCCAAAGTCAGCAGAAGGAGGGAAATAATAAACATTAGAGCAGAAATAAATGAAATAGAGGGTTTAAAAAAAAAACAGTAGAAAAGATCAATGACACTAAGAACTTATTCTTTGAGAAGATAAACAAAATTGACAAACTCTTAGCCAGACTCACTAAGAAAAAAGAGAGAAGGCTCAAATAAATAAAGTCAGAAATGAAAGAGGAGAAATTACAATAGATACCACAAAAACACAACAGATTATAAGAGAATACTATGAAAAACTACACGGCAACAAATTGGATAACCTAGAAGAAATGGAGAAATTCTTACACTCATACAACCTCCCAAAACTGAATCAAGAAGAAATAGAGAATCTGAATAGACCAATCACAAGACATCGAGACAGTAATCAAAAACTTCCCCCAAAACAAAAGTCAAAGACCAGAAGGCTTCTCTAGAGAATTCCATCAAACATTCAAAGATTTAATATCTATCCTTCTCAAACTATTTCAAAAAATTGAAGGAGTCAGAACACTTCCTAACTCATTCTATGAGGCCAATATCACCCTGATACCAAAACCAGACAAGGACAACACAAAGAAGGAAAATTACAGGCCAATATAGCTGATGAACATAGACGCAAAAATCCTGAACAGAATATCGGCAAACAGAATACAGCAATACATTAAAAGGATCATACACAGTGATCAAATGGGATTTATTCCAGGGACACGGGGATGCCTCAACATCCGCAAATCAATCAATGAGATACACCACGTTAACAAAAGGAAGAAGACAAACCACGTGTTCATCTCGATAGATGCAGAGAAAGCATTTGACAAGATCCAACATCCATTAATGATAAAAACTCTGAATAAAATGGGCATAGAAGGAAAGTAACTCAACTTGATAAAGGTCGTATATGACAAACCCACAGCCAACATCATATTCAATGGTGAAAAACTGAAAGCCATCCCTCTGAGAACAGGAACCAGACAAGGGTGCCCACTCTTACCACTCCTGTTCAACATAGTACTGGAGGTTTTGGCCAGAGCAATTAGGCCAAAGAAATAGAAAGAGAAATAAAAGGTATCCAAATTGGAAAGGAAAAAGTGAAACTCTTGCTGCTTGTGGATGGCATGATTCTACATATAGAAAACCCCAAAGAATCCATCATAAAACTATTAGATATAATCAACAACCATAGCAAAGTTGCAGGGTAAAAAATCACCTTACAAAAATCAACAGCATTTCTATACACTAACAATGAACAAACATAAAGAGAAGTCAAGAATATAATCCCATTAACAACTGCAACAAAAAGAATAAAATATTTAGGAATAAATTCAACCAAGGAGGTGAAAAATCTATACACTGAAAACTAGAAAACATCATTGAAAGAAATTGAAGAAGACATAAAGAAATGGAAAGATATTCCATGCTCATGGATTGGAAGAATAAACATAGTTAAAATGTCCATACTACCTAAAGCAATCTACAGATTCAATGCAATTCCAACCAGAATCCCAATGACATTCTTCACAGAAATAGAAAAAAGAATCCTAAAATTTATATGGAACAACAAAATACCCCAAATAGCCAAAGCAATCCTGAGAAAAAAGAACAAAGCTGGAGGCATCACAATCCCTGACTTCAAAATATGCTACAAAGCTATAGTAACCAAAACAGCATGATACTGACACAAAAAAAGACACATAAATCGATGAAATGGAATTTGAAGCCCTGAAATAAAACCACACATCTACAGACAGCCAATCTTTAACAAAGAGGCTGAGAACATACAATGGAGAAAGGAAAGTCTCTTCAACTTGGGAAAACAGGACAGCCACATGTAAAAGAATGAAAATAGACCATTCTCTTATGCCACTCACAAAAATAAACTCAAAATGGATCAAAGACTTAAAGGCAAGATCTGAAACCATAAGACTTCTAGAAGAAAATATAGGCAGAACACTCTTTGACGTCAGTTTTAAAAGGATCTTTTTGGACACCATGTCTTCTTGGACAAGGGAAACAATAGAAAGAATAAACAAGTGGGACTTCATCAGACTAAAGGTCTTCTACAAGGCAAGGGAAAACAAGATCAAAATGAAAAGACAACCCACTAATTGGGAAAAAATATTTGCAAATCATATATCCAACAAAGGGTTAATCTCCATAATATACAAAGAACTCACACAACTCAACAACAAAAAATCAAACAATCCGATCAAAAAATGGGCAAGGGATATGAACAGACATTTCTCCAAAGAAGGTATATGGATGGCCAATAGGCACATGAAAAGATGCTCACCCTCACTGATCATCAAGGAAATGCAAACCAAAACTACGCTAAGACATCATCTTACGCCCGTTAGAATGGCTATAATAACCAAGACAAAAAAATAACAAATGTTGGAGAGGATGTGGAGAAAAGGGGACCCTCATACACTGCTGGTGAGAATGCAAACTGGTGCAGCCACTATGGAAAACAGTATGAAGATTTCTCAAAAAGTTAAAAATAGAACTACCATACGACCCAGCCATTCCACTACTGGGTATCTATACAAAGAACTTGAAATCAGCAATTCAAAGAGACTCATGTACCCCTATGTTCATTGCAGCATTATTCACAATAGCCAAGACATGGAAGCAACCTAAGTGCCCGTCAACTAATGACCGTATAAAGATGTGTGTATATATACACATACACACACAATGGAATACTACTCAGCCATAAAAAATGACAAAATCATCCCATTCACAACAACATGGATGGCCCTTGAGGGTATTACGTTAAGCAAAATAAGCCAGATAGAGAAAGACAAACCCTGTATGACTCCACTCATATGTGGAAGATAAACAAACACATGGACAAAGAGAACAGATTAGTGGTTACCAGAGGGAAGGCAGGTGGGGGGTGGGCACAAAGATGAAGGGGTGCACTGATAAGATGACTGACAAATGATAATGTACAACTGAAATTTCACAATGCTGTAAACTATCATAACCTCAATAAAAAAAAAATGGGCAGAGGATCTGAACAGACGTTTTTCCAAAGAAGATACACAGATGGCCAACAAGTATATGAAAAGATGTTCAACATCACTAATTACTAGGGAAATGCAAATCAAAATTACAATGAGATATCACCTTACATCTGTCAGAATGGCTACAATTAACAAGACAAAAAATAACAAGTGTTGGAGGAGGATGTGGAGAAAAGAGAACCCTCATACACTGCTGATGGGAAGGCAAACTGGTGCAGCCACTATGGAAAACAGTATAGAGATTTCTCAAAAAATTAAAAATAGAAATACCATATGATCCAGCTATCCCACCACTGGGTTTTAGCTGAAGAACATGAAATCAACAATTGAAAGAGATTTATTCACCCCTATGTTCATTGCAGCATTATTCACGATAGCCAAGACGTGGAAGCAACCCAAGCGCCCATCAACGGATGAATGGATAAAGACGATGTGGTATGTAAACACAATGGAGTACTACTCAGCTATTTAAAAAAAGACAAAATCGTCCCATTTGCAACAACATGGATGGGCCTTGAGGGTATTATGTTAAGCAAAATAAGCCAGACAGAGAAAGGCAAACACCGTACGATTTCACTCATATGTGGAAGATAAATACACACATGGACAAAGAGAACAGATTAGTGGTTACCAGAAGGGAAGGGGGTTGGGGGTCCACAAAAGGGGTAAAGTGGCACATATGCACAGTAACAGATAAAAGCTAGACTAATGGTGGTGAGCACGATGCAGTCTATACAGAAACTGATATATAATAATGTACACCTGGAAATACACAATGTTATAAACCAATATGACCTTTATAAAATAATTGAAAAAAGAAATCCTTAAAGTTGAACAAAAGTAAGACATATTCTTTACAAACTGTTTACTTTTAAGTGTTTTGTATTTCTTTTTTTCTAATTAGAAAAACTATGTGTCAGGTGGCCTCTTGAAGTCACTGAACCCCAGGCTGCCCCCAGCCCTCCTGCGGAGAGCAGCCTTTTGAAACTGTGGTCAGTGATGCTGGTGTGCTCACCCACATCTCCTTTTCAATTTCTGCTCCATAAACATGATCACAGATGCACACACACTTCGCATACTGTACCTGGTTCAGCTTATCTTTCTCTTCAATACAGGAGGCCGCTTTTTTCTGCTCTCTGTTTACTTCTGAAACCAGCCTCAGGATCGTTTCTCTGCTAGCTTTTGCCTCCATCTCATGGACATTTATAGTCTCTTCAAGAGTAACAATTTGTCCTTTCATGAATGCATTTTCCTTGCACAGCTCTCTAAGCTGAAGAGAAAGCAATTACAGCCATCCCATAAAAATCAACAATTTCGCCCCACTTTCTCTAAGCAACTCTGATCTATATACCTCATTGACTTCATTTTCATATGAAAACAATGAAAGCACCATCCCGCCATCCACTCAAAAGATCACATTTTCAAAGGCAGTTTCTAAACACTGTCGTTATGTGCAAACCTGGCAGCCAAATTAAAACTAATCAAAAGGTAGCCAGCCACAAAGTAACAATGATGAGAGTTCAACCAAAAGCTTTCCAACAGAACAAGCATCAGCAGGCTCTGGCTGCTAAATAATCAAGAAGCAATGTTCTACAGAGGTTACGGCAGGTGAGGGAGCGAGGGAGTTCTATTCACGCCACGTCGGCCAGCACCAGCTGTGTGCAAGGTGCTACATGGCTGAGGTGGGTGGGGGAAAGACAGAGAAGAAGACAAGACTCTCTTTAAAAAAAAAAAAAAATCCCAGGGCCGCCCAGTGATGTAGTGGTTAATTTCACATGCTACGCTTTGGCAGCCTGGGGTCCCCAGGTTCTGATCCCAGGCACGGTCCTACAGACAACTTGCTCATCAAGCCATGCTGTGGCAGCATCCTACATACAATAGAAGAAGATTGGCACAGATGTTAACTCAGGGCCAATCTTCCTCACCAGAAAAAAAAAACTCTCTAATTAATATAAGCAAAGAAAAATCCTGGATAACATGCTCAAACAGTGGTTATCATTGGGGTTAGCAGGACTCTCGCTCTCTATGCTATGCATTTGAATTGTCAAGCAGGAGCATTAGTAAGATATGTAAGATTTACAAGGAGGGAAAACAAACCAGGCTCCTTGGCAGCAGGGAACCAGCCATGCAGACAAGTTCACTCTGTAAGGCCAGGGGACGCTATAGGAAGACCTGAATTTCCCCATTTCTGTTACAACTCTCTGTAAAAGTGACAAACCGTTCATCTTCATGGTGCCAACAGGGTGCCCTGCTCCAACTTAGGGCTGTTCCCTCTCTCCTGAACACTTTTCCTCACATATGCGTGCTCACTCCCTAACATCCTTCGTGAGTCCCCCCCTCAAAGGGCACTCTTCAGCCAGTCTGCCTAAGCTGGCGTCCCAGCCTCCTACCGGCTTTGCTCTCTGTCCCCGTAGCCTGATTTGTTTTTCTTTGTTGCACCTTTCACCATGGGGGATAATATTAGATATTTGTTTCTTTCCTCTCCATCTTTACCCCACGATAACGAAAGCTCTAGCAGGGCACAGACTAAGTCTCGTCTCACTCCCTGCTGTATCCTCGGCACCCAGACAGTGCCAAGCATGCAGTCATCACTCCCGAAGTATTTGAGAAGTGAATGACTGTCAAACAAGTTCTTAGGAATGCCTCTTTTCCACCAAGTTTCCTTGGGAGTGTGGACCCTTGTGTTTATGATGGCTATGAAAGTGAAGAAATGGCTTTGAAATTAAAGGAGTGGCTTTGGTCCACTTCTCAGGGGAACACTTAGTGAGTGCTGATCAAGACAGCAGCTTTCTTGCTCTTGGCCAGTGATTTTCTTTTAAGATAGGTTCCTGTTCAAGTGATGGGGATGCTAAAGCTCTAGGGTCCTAGTATGTGTTTTCAAATGCAAGTTCTATTATCATTCAGATATGATGAGGCCAACAGATCAGGAGACAGTTGCCACTGCAAAGATAGTCTGTTACTCACAGTTCCCAAGAGGAGGGGCACCCATGCCATGCAGGGCCACACGGGGAGCACCAGGGTCAGTCAGGAGACAGAAGGAGCAAGGGGAAATTGTGTATTCCACAGGAAGTAATGGGTGAGGCAGCGTAAGCAGGTTTGGGATTGGCTAGTTCGAATAATTTCAGCAGGCTCTGTAGTGTAGGAGCTGTCCCTAGGTGTCTGGTACCTGGCCCTGGGGTGATCAGGGCAGCTGGCTAGTGGCCCAGAGTGTGAAAGCCTGATAGAAGAAGTGTTTGGGGTGTGGGTTCTGGGTTAGTTGGTTTGCTCCAAGGAGAGTCATTTCTAGGAATTGGCTGACCCTGGGAGCGGCCGTCCCTCCTGGGTCAGCAAGGCCCCAGATGTCAAAGGTTAGAAATACAGAAAATAAAAAGGGATGATTAATATAGTATCAACACACAGATTAGCATCTGCAGATTGTCCCTGATGTGGGAAAGCATGTCGTAAAGGAAGGAGCTTCTGAATTCCCTCTTCTTTTCCCCACCACTTGGCTTTAAAGGCAAGCCCCCAAACTATACTGTCGACTTTGACAGCCAGGCTCCTGGTCACATATTAGCAACAAGGAGGAGGAGAAGACGCATCTGGCACCCTCAAGGGTATCAGACAGATCTAGGCCTCAGCTACCAAAACCCATCGGTGAAGTCAACACTTCCAGAAGTAAGATGAAACCATTCTGCAGCTTTCAGAGAGTTCCTGGGAAACTTCCTAATAAACAACTGAGAAGTGGCCTTTAAGAACGACTGCATGGAAACCCATCAGGAAGCAAGGATACAAAAGGTGTGTGGATGACAAAGATGTGGTGAGCGCTCAAACACTTTCAGGTGCCCTGATGAGTCACTATGGGCCACGTGAATTATTCAGTTGATATAACTAATTTCCATCTTAATGGCAACCTACCATAAAAGTAGGATTTTCATTATTTGGTTCCAATGTAAAATTAAAAAGTACTTTAGAATTAATCTTAACCTTATATTCAATAAGTATCCCCAATATGACACACAGTTGGTTTTGTTTTTGGTTGGGTATGTGTGTATTTCTGTCTATAACCAAAACAAACAAACAAACATCTTCCTAAAATACATCATTAAAACGAATAATTATATTGACAAGCTAAATATATTTTAGACGAAACAATTAATCTAGAGGACAATTAATCCCAAATAACGCTAGAAAGGATCTTGGAATTGAGGCTCAGAGAGGTGATATGGTTTGTCCCAGGTCATACAGTATATTAATGCTACATTTGGGCCAAAGTCCCATTCTCCTGCCACCCCTAGACTCAGCCACAGCTCTTGCTTTCATGGCACGTGTCAGAAGGACACTGAAGATGTGGGCTCTTTAACTCGCATACAAACACCTTCAGAACGAAGTCTTCTTCTGACGCCGCTCCATTTTCCTTGTTTGGATCTAAGCAGTCATGAAGTTGCGCTAGAAATTCCTCACGTTTCCTGCAATTCATTGAGATTTGATTCATATTCTTCTCATTTTCCTTTAAACACTTTCTATCAAGCAAATAAGAAATGAGTCAAGTTTTAACACCATAGAAGATTAACATTCACCAAACGAAGTTCAGAACTCAAGCTCTCGGCGAGGAATAACTAATCATCATTTTCAACACAACACAGCTTCCCAGACACAGAGCACATCATTGTCGCGCAAGCCCTGTAAGAGATGGAAAAACCTGGAAGCAATTCTGGGCACTGACACTTCACAGAAATGTAGCAACATCTTCATGGCATCTTAGATCTAGTAACAGCGAGGGAGACAGACTCTTTGCCGCCTGTCCCCGATCTTCCAGGATCTGCCGAAGTGGCAGGAAGGTCTCTAGATCACACATGGATCCATATAGTCATGGGTCTCTGTTGGGCCCCATAAAGGCGGACAGTGCTACTACATTAGTTTTAGGAGACCATGCTTCCTTTTATTTTCCAATGCTATACAGTGATCGATAAGGGTTAGTTAGGCATTCCCTGGTTCATGGTCAAGCATAACTATAAAAAAAAAATGCATCAAGAGCACGAGTTGTTCCCACCTCTGGAAAAGAGGTGTTCAATCACCAGCAAAGCTCATTATAGTCTGCATACACCCAGAGTTTTCAAAGAGTGTTGGAATGGCCCAATCAAGGAAAATCACTTATTTATGCCCCGCTCTGAATATTTTATTTCAAATCTCCGATAGGTTTGCTAAAATAGCAGGGTCTATTTCTAATGCTTTTAGATCATCAAAAAATGGACATATTTTAAAGGCAAATTAGAATCATTTTGGTAATTTGGTATCATTTTTTCAGTACCCTAGATAATAAACGTGATTATTGCTTTCCCTTTTTAACATGTTGAGTGTTTACTGCAAATTCTTTCACTCTATTCAAAGATTAACAAAGCATATAATTGCATATACTCAAAAACATATCATATTTCTATTTAGAAAAATGTATAACAATAAAAGACCAACATCAATATATCTTTAAGCTCTTATTTTCAGCATATGAAAGGTAATATTTGTTCTCTGACTCATGGACGACACAGCAAATGCTATAGTTCTGATTAACATTTATAATTCCAATCCCAAGATTTCAATCTTACTTCTCCATTCCAAGGTTCTTTAAACTCTTTCCACTTCTATTTTCATTTCACTTTGACCCAACAAATTTCCAGGAATCTATCCTAAAACATAATCACATAAATGTGAAAATATGAATATACCTAGATATTCATTACAGATTGGTTTATCATTTTTTGCATAAGTAACCTAAGTCCTTATAGGAAATAGCAAAGGGAACAAGTGAATTATGATATTTCAAGCAATAGGATATCATGGGCCATTAAAATGATATAGTGAATGACTTTTCAAAATATCTACAACATATTATTCAGTAAAATCATTCATTACATGATGTCATTTGTGTGCAATATTCTTAAAATCTGTTCAACAAAATGTTAACTCAAGCTTTTATGGAATCACCAGGTTTTGAGTAATTTTAATTTCTTTTTGGCACTTTTCCATATTTTTTTAAATTATTTTACGAGTATGTATGATTTTTATTATTCATTTACTTAATAAATATTTATTGGGCACTTACTATGCACCAGGCCCTATCAAAGGTATTAAAGATATAGTAATAAACAAAGCAGATAAACATCCCTGCCTTCACAGAGCCTACATTCTAGTTGGGAAGAAGGACAATATCAAAATCTTATTGTATGTAAAATGTGTAGCATGTTATAAAAGGGCTGGAGAGAAAAAACTAAGCAGGAAAGAGGGAAGGAAATATTTGTGGTGAGCGAGTAAACTTTTAGCTGTAGTTACTCATGGAAACTCTGACTGAGAAAGTGACTTTTCAGTGAAGACGTAACAGAAGCAGAGAGGCAGCCATGTAATAACTGGGGGACGAGCTTTCCAGGCAAAGGAAGAGCAAGTGCAAAAGTCCTGAGGTAGGATCACACCTGGTATGTTCAAGGGGCAGCAAAGGAGCCAGTGAGCTGGAATGGAAAAAAGAAGAGAGGTGATGGAAGCAAACCAGGTCAGGATGAGCCATTTAGGTCACAGAAACCACTCTTTATTCCGAGTCAGATGGGAAGTCATTGGAAGGCCCTGAGCAGAGGGCTGATATGACCGAATTTGTGTTTTAACAGCATCACTTTGGCTGCAGGGGGCAGAGGCAGAAGAGGAAAAACACTTACGGGGCTGTTGGAATAATCTGGCTTGGACCAGGTTAGTGGCCATGAGGGTGGCAATGGGAAGCAGTCAAAATTTACATTTATTTTGAAGGTAGACGCGATGGACTTTGGTGAAGGATCAGACATGGAGTGTGACAGAGAAACAGAGCTAAGGATAATTACCACGATGTTTCACCTGCTCAACTAGAAGAATGAAACTACCATTAAATGAGATGTGGAAACATCGGGAGCTGTTTGGGATAGGTCAAGTTTGAGATGCCTGTTGGACGTCCAAGTGGAGATGTCTGGTAGGTAGTAAGATGCGTGGGTCTTGCGTTCTGGGAAGAGATCCAGGCTAGATTTAGAAATGTGGGAGTCACTAGCATTTAGACCAGACTGAAAGTCATACGACTAGATGAGATCACCGAGAGAGTGAAGTTAGACAGAAACGAGGAGCGGTTCAAGGACCGAGCCCCGGGGCACTCCAACATTTGGAAGTCAAGGAGAAGGGGAGGAAACAGCAAGAGACGATGACAGCAGCTGGAAAGGTTAAGATAAAAAGCAGGCTTGTGTAGTGTCTGGGAAGCCAAGAGCAGAAAGTGGTTCAGGGAGAGACCAACTGCGAGTGATATATTGAAAGGTCAAGTAAAATAACGACTGATCATTTAATTTGCAGTGTGCGGTCACCAGTCACTTTAACGAGTGGTTTCAGTGGAGCAGATCCAAGAGAGGAGAGAGGAGAGAAATTGAGACAGCGATTATATATAAATATTTTAGGGAGTTTTGCTGTAAGTGGAAGGAAAGAAAAAAGACAGGAGCTGGAAGCATGAGCTTTTTTTTTTTTTTTTTGAGATAGAATAAGTAAAATAAATATCAAGTATCTTATTAATAAAGTTATCTAAGTTATACATAGAATTATAAAAGCACATTTTAGGAACCACTAGTTCCAGTTTTGTCTCAATAATCACCTTTGGCCAGAACTAAGTGTGGAAAACCTCAATTTCATGAATTCTCTGCAAAAACTGGCAATAAAACCTAACGAAGAGTGTTCGAGGTGGTCTGGGCTTCTGGGGTATTTTTATAACTAGCTTCTGAATAAACACCTCCCTCTGGGCCCGCCCACCACCTCCAGGTAAACGTCCACTTAGAGGAAATCTTCCATATTGTACAAATAAGCATTTGCAGCTCTAATCAGTAGGACATAAATATGCTTAGGACGAGGCCTTGTTTGGACTCTTGGTGACATTTAGAAATGAGCTTGGGAAAAATCTTCAAGACCCCAAAGATATTTGAGGACAATACATATATATATATAATTTTCGAATTGAGTTTCAGGGCCAAATAATGCACAATGCCAGTACCTTCAAGGGTAAACTCTGCTGTCAGAAGCTAGTATTTTAACACTAACTCAACTAAGCCATATCCTGAAATATCCTTACTGTAATTTTTCATCGAGTTCTGCCACTGTCTTCTTTAACTCCCGGTTCTCCTTGATTGCGGTGTGAGCCGTGATTTCTGTCCTAATTTTAGAGGAGGAGAGTGCTGCTGAGTCTTCTTCTAGCTCCTGAACTCTGTCTCTCAGAGAGGTGAGGAGAGACGATTTCCTGGCATTGTTTTCTTTGTAGTTTTCCACTTCAGCTTTCAATTCTTGACAGGAAACTTCTTTCGAAAGCATCTTGGATCGGAGATCTCGAAGCTACCATGGAAATGAGGTAAAAAAGAGGAAAAGGATTTCAATGGTATAAGTTTGAAGGACCTTTAAGAAACCCCAACCCATACTTCAAAATTTCACTCTTTTATTCATATTTTAATCCAACTTTACTTTCTTGTTTTCGTATTTGTATCTGTATTACCAGATGGGAAGTTAGGCCTAAATTAGTGAGCTTCACGTTCTTTTTCAAAACCAGTTGAGCAACGTCTTATGGTGGTTTAGTCTCACTCAAGAGATAATTGTGGTGTACTTTGCAAAAAGCAATAAAATATTTTGCAGTAATAACTCTCTTTCTAAATCTGTATTGCTACTATCGCTGCTGCCAATGAAATGGGGAACCTATAAGTCACGCTATTTAGGATTTCACGGCCACAACAGTTTGCCAAGCAAATACAGACTTTTCACCATATCACCACATTCCTCCCACATGCCTTCTGGACTTTTATGAATTCTGTGGCATCAAAGTGTTGAATAATGTTTGTGCCCTGTTAAGGTAAGATGTCAGGTCCACCTTATAAGAAAACTTGATGAATGCAGGTATTTCTTTGGAATTGTGAGTATGCATGCATATGTTTATTCACACACATCTTATGGACTCATTGTTCAATGGGGTCCTGGCAGCCCAGTGAGACCACTAGTTACCTCACAGGCAAGTCTGGGGTTCCTCAGGGCCACCAGGCTGTGGGCAAAATGGGGATAGGCAGACTGTCTCAGAAATGCCACTATAGACCTGATCCAGCCAGAGGTTGGCTGGATCCCAATCATCTTCCTAGAATTTCCCCCAGCCAGTCAGAACTACCAGCAGAAAAGGATTCAGAATTCCAGCCTAAGAGCTCCGGATTACAAACAATCCGTATTAAAGGAACATATTCTGAGAGATGCTAAGAGTCCTCGAAAGCCCTTGCAGAAAAAAACCAAAGTCCTCAGGTGCCTCCAGACCCCTCAAGGCTGTGGAGCTCCTCTGAGATCTAGAATCCAGCCCAGGCAGCATGGCAAATGCATAACCTTTCAGGAATTCTCTAGAACTAAGGGGTAGGTGCACAATAAGAGAATAAGTTTAAACTTTGCCGAAAGGTTGAAATCTGCATCCTGCTGTGCTATTTGTAATCACCTCTACGCTCTGCTTCGCTCTATAAAGAAGCTAAAAAGGCCCATTTCTGAGTTACAAAGATGCATAATCTTACCTCAGACTGAGCACATTCGAATTTGACCAAAGTTGCTGCAAGGTCACTTCGAGCATTTTCAGCCACATTCCGATAGTGGTTTAATTGCTCCCGAGTGACGGGGACTTCCAAAAGATGATCATAAGTTCCCTGATAGGGTTCCCACTAAAGACAAAATATAGAGAAGAGTCATAAACAGTCCTTTCTGTGCAGCTGTGCAAAGCAAGATGAAATACAGAAGCATTCCCTCAGCCCAAATGTGTCAAAAATGCTACCCAGAGAAATGTTGTGTTCAGATCACTTCATCCTCACGCTCAAAGTTCTGAGGCGGGAGACAGCCCAGGCACAAACAACATGCTCCCCCAGGATGGCAGTGAGGGTGGCGTTGACAAACTGGCCTGTGCCACTTCAGAGTTTCCTTCCACCCAATCCAAATGCCATTTGAGCTCTGACCAGAACCAACAGAGTTAACAAAGGCATGGCAGAAGAGACACAATGTGACACCACACCGAACTAGGAGGCGGTTTTTATTGTTCTTCTGTTTCCAGACTACAAAGATGATCAACTCACCTCGTCTGTGGAATAAAGTGTTTCATTTGTTTATGCAAGAGATCATGTGAGTTAAATGCAAAAGGCTGCCTCCTTCCTAATTATTCCTGGTGCCATTTATTCTCCATCTCATAACCTATCTTGGGATCATGAAGGTGACTCAGAGGAATGCCTGAGACCACAGGTAGTGTGATGGGACGTGAAGAGTCCTTGCCCCTTCTAGAAAGGAACAGCTCCCAAGGCCACTGATGGCTGCCAGTAACAAAACATGGATCCCAGCGTGCCCAAATTATCCCAATTTTTCAAGACAAGTCATATATCCAGACTTTTCAAGGTAAAACGTCCCAGTTTTTGCACCTTGGTTTAAATGCTTAATAAAGAAATCCTGTACGAGCCAAATAAACTCATCTGCAGAGCAGATTTGACGGGTGTGGCCTGTGGGTCACAGTCGACAACATCTAGTTGTGTTTCTGTCCTGCTTCCTTCAAGAATTGTTCCTGAGCTTGGACAGGTCCTATGCCCACCTCCGAGAATTTTCCAGGGCCTGTGGTCTTTGTGAAAGACGTACCAGAAAGCCACTCATTTTTGAAGGAATATAAAAGAGGTCACATAAAGGAAGTTTTCCTGGAATTATCTAAGTGGCCTCAGAGGACACCCCAGTAAAACGTGTTTATGACCGCCCAGCTACTCAAGTGCCAAAGACTACTGTTTGAAAAACTCATGAATGTAAAAGTCATCTTAAAGTCCTTCACTTTACAACAAGCGTTGTCATGACAAGCGTGTTTCAATCCACGAAATGCCAAACCAAACCGTCAGTGCACTTAGTAACAGCCTGTGTTTGCCAATCAAAACACACATCCAAGAAGACGGTAGGTGTGTACGCCTGGGGAAAAAGCATAAAACGTTTAACTGCATCTAATAAGAGAACCACATCCTGTTCAGCCTCCCCCAATATTCAGAAGGACCTTCTCCACCCTAACCACACAGCAAGATTGTCTAAAATAGGCCACGTGAGGACCTCGGTCACTTACGAGGTTGGAACTATAGGATCCATGGCACGCGATTGTATAAAATTCGTTAGGAAAATAAGTTCCTCGGTAGCTATGATTCTTTCTTTCAATGACTAACATCCTTTTTTAGGAATGACATTAGTAGTCATCCCGTAATTTTATACCTCCTCCTCGTGAAGAAATATTGTGTCCAGTGGATGTAATATTAAGAGTCACACAAGACACTTCAGAGATGGCCCTGCATTTTAGGAGGTTACAATCTAGGGCAGAACACCAAAAGCGTTAGCATCTTCAAACGCTCATGGGGGAAAGAAACAGCCCATTAGGATATCATCTCCTCTCACACTGGACCAGCGCCTACGTTCGGAAGACTCCTTTGATTACTGAGTTTAGAAGACAGTTGCTAGGTCTAAACCACCTTTAGAGTCCAGCAGACTGGAGATTCTTCATCAACGATTTACCGAAACCCTACTCTGGGTCTGAGCTTGCAGTCTAGTAAGCAAAAGAGCGTCTATCAAACAAGCACACTCATGATTGCATGATTACAAACTGAAATAAGGCAAGGAAAGAAAGACATTGACAGACAACAAAGGAAACTGACCTAAGATTAGGGAAATGGGAAGGAAAGATTTCCCTAAAGAAGTAATTAAATAGGAATTAAAGAGGCAATAGGTATTGAAGCATTCAAATAGCCAAAAGTCCGAGCAAAGGCCCTGTAGCCTGAGTCTGCCCTGTGTGGTCAAGGATCTAAGAAAAGCCAGTGAGGCTGAGGGACAAGAGCAGTGGAGGCAGCACTCAAAAAACAGCTCTGAGCTCATTAATATAGTTTAGTACCTGGTAGGGCTTCTTTTTCAGAGTATTCCTGGCTTTTCTTACTTGTGCATTTTACCATATGAAATTCAAATCAACTCATCAAATTCCAAAAAATCCTGTTGGTATTTTTATTGGGACCACATTAATGTTATAAATAAACTTCAGGAGAATTGACATCTTTTAAATGTTGAGTCTTCCAACTAAAATCATTTTTTCCATTTGTTCAGGAATTCTTTTTTTTTTTTTATTTGAGGATGATTAGCTCTGAGCTAACATCTGCCACCAATCCTCCTCTGTTTTTGCTGAGGAAGATTGGCACTGAGCTCACATCTGTGCCCATCTTCCTCTCTTTTATATGCGGGACGCCTGCCCCAGCATGGCTTGATAAGTGGTGCATAGGTCCGCACCTGGGATCCGAACCAGCAAACCCTGGGCTGCCAAAGTGGAATGTGCAAACTTAACCGCCGTGCCACAGGGCTGGCCCATGTTCAGGAATTCCTGTGTGTCTGTTAGTAGCTGTGATGGTTAATTTTATGCGTCAGCTTGACTGGACTGGATATTTGGTTAAACAATATTCTGAATATGTCTGGGAGGGTGCTTCTGGATGAGATTAACGTGTGAATGGGTAGACTAAGGAAAACGGATTGCCCTCCTCGGTGTGGGTGGGCCTCATCCAATCCGTTGAAGGCCTAGATTCTTCATCGCCCAGTAGCACTCACATTCTGGCTTTACGAATGCTGGTGCTGTGTTCGGCGGTGCAAAGATTCAGAACTTTCACAGCTTCGTTGTGAGGTGTACCACGTAGCATCATGATGTGTGCTGATTCATCTGACTTCATCCTTCCTGCTCTGAATTCAACCTTTTCTGAGAATTGAGACCATGATCCCTGATTTCTTTTTGTTTGCATCTGACTACATCTACCTGTGTTCCATTTTTTTGCTTTCGACCTTTCTGCATCCCTTTTTTCAGATGTCTCCTATGGAAATAAAGTTGAGTGTGCCTTTGTGATCAGTTCTAAAATTCTTTTCCTTTTATTGGATGGCTTTACTAGGTTTTCACTTGTTACAATGACAAGTAAGTTTGATCTTAGTTCTGGTGCATTATGTTATGCTTTACTGCTCTTCAAAATCTTTCACTATGGAGGCTGTTTGCTTTCCTCTGTTTTGTGTGTGTTACATCTGATAATCAGGAAGGTTTGTATTTTTGTTCTAGTTTTAAGTTGATAACTGTAACTTTAAATAAAACCTTTTTTTCCGATTTTTTTTTGTGAGGAAGATTGGCTCTGAGCTAATTGGCAACATCTGTTGCCAATCTTCCTCTTTTTGCTTCAGGAAGATTGTCACTGAGCTGACAGCCGTGTCAATCTTCCTCCGTTTTATGTGGGATGCCACCAGAGCATGGCTTGATGAGCAGGGCTAGATCCACGCCTGGGATCTGAGCCTGTGAACCCCAGGCCATGGAAGCGGAGCACATGAACTTAACCACTATGCCACCAGGCCAGCCCCTAAAACCTTAGTACCTTTCATCTCTCTATTTATTTAGGTGATATCTACTAATTTGCTGCCATAGCATATCTCCTCTTCCTTACCCCTTTCTCCTTCTCTTCCAACTTCTAATTTATGATCTTTATATTACCCTTCTAAGTACTTCTCTTGCTAGTGTAGCAGCAAGTTATTAGATGAGAGAGATCAAAATGCGCATGCTCCCTCTCACCTCCCCTCCTCATGTATGCTAACTAGTTTTCTTTTCAGGGAACTCTAAGTATGCACGTGCTTAATCTCATTGGATGTATTCTATTTCATTCATTTCCTCCGATTCCTTTTCAATTCTTTATTTCCATTTCATTTTTCCTGTTCTTCTCATTTCTTCTCTTCGTCTGCCTGTCTCCCTGTGTACCTTCCAGCCTTGCTATTGTAGCTGGGACAGTTTCACTTTTTCTGTCTCTTTCTGTCCTGAGCTCTCCCAGGTCACATTTCATCTCCCCTTCTTGCCTTGCAGTAGCTTTCTTGAGGTCCTATAGCTCTCCTTTCTGAACATGCTTCAGATATGTCAGCTTCACTCAACTATTTTATTCATGATGAAATATGTGGTCACAATTTCTTCTTGCATCATCGCAAGTTTCTGGTAGACATTCTTCCTCTGTCATATTTTTCCTATTTCTTCCCCCTGGCTTTTTTGTTGTTGTTGTAGCCTTAAATAATTCCTGTGCTATCTCTTTTTGGATTGCTTATTAGAAGGACAAGCTGGGGAAGAGGTTTGCATGCAAATAGGAGTAGAAAAGTTGGGTCATTCAGGTTCCAGCCAAGCAAGAGCTTCCCTAAAACTCATGGTTTTGTGTATAACTTCATTTGACCTAGAGATCATTCTAGCCAATGGAGAGACAACTGGGGGGCTTAGCACAATGCAGACTCTCCACGGCCCCCCTGCCCCACAGCTTCCTACAAATCTGGCTTGCAGAGTGATTTTTATTTAGCCTTCCCTCATTTTGGAATCCAAGTGGGTTCACAGAAGCTCCCACTGCCAGTTCACACACTTCCATCTTCTCTTGCAAACAAGAGATTTCAGCTTATCTCCTCTAAGTTTGCCACTTGTCTTTTTTTTTTTTCAGCGAGGAGATTGAACCTGAGCTAACATCTGTTGCCAATCTTCCTCTTTTTTTTTTTCTTCTCCCCAAAGCCCCAGTACATAGTTGTATATCATAGTTGTAAGTCCTTCTAGTTCCTCTATATAGGATGCTGCCACAGCATCACTTGATGAGCAGTGTGTAGGTTCGCACCCGGGATCCGAACTGGC